TCTCTTCTCTTTTTCTTTCATGTCTTCTTTCTTGCATAATAATCCATGGGGACAGTGTAGGTGTGGATGGGTGGGGGTTTGTTAGGAAATATAAAGAATAAAATATTGCGCAGCGCATATTATCTTAGGGGATGAGAAATGGATGGGGAAATATGTGCTACTAAAAAAATTACTTGTGCTACCAAATTTTTTTGGGGGGTGCCAGAAAATTTTGGCAGTGCTACCAAGGAAAAAAGTTAATTTCAAGCCCTGTGTATATATTGTATAACATCTTTCCTCAACTTAAGTTAGTGGGGATTTCATTATTTTGGTTGTGAAAATCAAATATAAAAATAATGATATAACTATACTAATAATAGCAAAATATAGAATTCAATTACCTTGATTAATTTGACATCATCATCAAGTATAATAGCAACAGAGATTTGTAGTACCTCCGATCCATTAAACTGAAAACAAAACAAATGTGCATAATTATTCAATAAAGAGCTACAGTACATGTAAACCATTAAAGGCTGCATATAAATTTTAAAATAAAGCAAAAGATGGGATAGCACATTCTTAACTGAATACAATAATATCATAATAATTATTTTACATTTACTACTCAAGTCTCAGAGCACTCCACATTACTATTACATTTGAACAATGCATATGGAAGGAGTAAGCGTAGTCTAAGCCTGTATGTTTGATTGTGATCCGACCAATGACTTGCTACTCATAGTCGCACAAAAACACATTCATCATTACAGTGATTCGGTTCTTTTTCATTATCCATTTAAAATCTTATTTAAAATATTTAAAACGACTTACACAGCATTTCGGCGATACTCTCTATCAGCATTTTAAAGTTTGCTGTTGATGTCTTCAATTTTGTTTTGAATTTATTGTATTCTTACCATTCAATAAAAATAATGTAAAATGAATTCACTAACCTTCATTTTTTGTGATCCATTAACAGAAATGATGATTGAATCCGCTCCATATTTTTGTGCAATAAGAGATTTCTCCAGTAAACTACAATTACCATTCTTCACTATGACAACTTTTCCCTTAATAATTCCAGGTTGAACAGGATCTTTGCACAAACTGGATGAACTCAGGTCCAACAGTGGGTGAAACTAATAAATTGTTGAAACATTATTGGTTAATGTCTATGTAGGCCTAGGCTTATATTATACTACTGTATAGGAATCAAGTACACAGTGTTTAATGATTAACTTACTGAGTTTTCCTTGGGTAAAGTGGTGTTATCTGGATTGTAAGCAATACAGAAGTGTTCACTTTGATTTTCGTCCACAGCAGTAGATCGTTTTACAGTCAGAACACCATGTTCAAGTGCTGAAGTCGCCTGAAAAGTGAAAATTAAATGCTTATTAAATGATAATGCTGTTTTAAAATTATACTGCTAAAACTAAAAAAGTATTCATCCACAAAATAGACACTGAAATTCTGAAAAGGAAGTGAGTAGGGCTTTAAAAAAAAGAGAGAGAGAGAGAGAGACTGAAATTAATCTCTCTTTTTTTTTCTTTTTTTTTTCTAGTAGTAGCTTGACCTGGCCCCTAATCCAGCTAAAGCAAATTAAGTTTACGCCAAGGTAACTGAGTAGCTAGTAGTAGTCTCCCTGCCTTGCCTAGTCCTACTATTTAGTAGCTAGGGAGAGGCTCTATCTATGTCTCCTAGAGTCTAGACCAGAGCCTAGTCCTAGAGGTCAGGCCTAATCAATACAGTAATAATAGGGGTTTAATGACATCATTACGCAAATGATAAGACAAAGAGCAATCTTATTCTTTTATGTTTTATACATTTTACATAAAGCGTTTACCAACCTGTTCAAAAATAGCGACAATCATCAGTAAATAAACTACAAATGTGAACATTTTTCTTATAATTTGTTGGGATTTGTTTTGATTAGTTTTCATGTCGCCCTCTATCAGCAGCTGCTGGTCAGAAGCAAGCTACCTAGACTAGCTAGAAAAAAACATAATTTTGACAGTATTATTGACATTGTTACTTAATTCTGTCTATCTACCTACATAAATGGTATAAAATAATATTAAATAATATTATTGTGCTAAAATTGCGGAATTTTAAAAATAAGCTAAAATTTGTTTTAACACTTTATTCTTATTTTTATTAGTTAGCCTAGCCTAGGTGGTCATTTTCCATTATGGCGGTGAGTCTAAACCATGGTGTAAATAATGTAGAATTTTAGTTCATAGTTCTTCTGCTTCTTTGTATATATCGGCATGCTCCTTCAGTCAGAAAATATATAGATATATTTAGATCTGAAGTTGATCGGTTGTAGTTTTAATAACGTGGAGCTAATGACACTTGAGCTAGGCCCTAGGCCTAGCCTAAGCCTATTAGAGGCTAGGCTGAGGCTTAGTTAGGTAAGGGGGGGGGGGGTAGGTGAGCCCGAAGGCTAGCCTAGGCTAGGCCTGGCCTACCCGCAGGACCGGGCATTTTTTGATACGCATGCGTTTTTGATATGTATAAACGCCGAACGGGAGACTATCCATGTGGATAATAATGTGCCCTCCCCTCTCTCTGCCTCTATTCCAAGAATATGGCCTCTGTTCTGGCCTGTGTCACTGGCCTAGCCTAGCTAGATAAGAGGCTAGCCTCTCCATTATTCTGAGATAGGTACCTAGCCTAGCTTAGCTAGGCCATGCTTTGAAGTTGCAGTGCCTACTCACCAGAAGTGACTAAGTAAAGGAGGCATATCCTATATTGTAGGCTTTCAGGAGTCGTTAGCTAAGGTTTCTAAATTTTTACTATAAGCTTATATTACTGTATATATAGTGGATCAGGACCTTGATGACTTAAAATAAATTCCAGATGATGGATGATAAAGCTGCTTCTGCCATCTCAAATCCTTGGATCATCAGTTGATGGTCATGCAGCAGGGCATGGCCCTGGGTGAGAGAGAGACCTGTTGTCCTTTCTTTTGGTAAACCAGAAGTGGCATAGGCCTAAATTATAATTGAATATTTTTTAATTGGTTTATTTTTGTAGCAACAAGAAAGAAGAAAGAAAGAAAGTATTTTAGAACTGTCAAAATTCATTGACAAAACAATTCGTGTGAAGTTCCAAGGTGGACGAGAAGGTATTTTTGAGGATTCAATTTTGTGTTTTATTCAAAACAAACACAGTTTGTAACTTGATTTTTGCATTTTGTATTCTGATGTTGTGTACTGTATATTTTTAAGGTTACAAATCAGTTTAATCTCTTCCTAGTATATTTAAACAATTTCATTGTTATTAATAATATTTTCCTTGTATTGTTCATTGTAAATATTTCAACTTTTTGTTTGAATACATTAATTTGTAATTAACAATCATTGTATCTTTAAAATGTAATAATGAATGTCTAATGTAATCAATGGTTCATATTGTAGTTTCTATAGTTTTTTCCACACTATCAAATTTTCTTTGGCAAAAAAACTGTTGGATGTCTAAATATAGTCATGAGAAAGCTCAACAGTGGAATTGCTCATCTGGCGGAGTGTGACCTTGTAGCGAGACAGTGGCTATTGGACTTTGATGTTGATGTGTGATTTGCAATGCATACGAAAAAAGAAGATTTGCCTATATATGGTCATGATGTGACATCATAGTTAGGCATGTCACATGTTTTATCATATAAAATATGATAGTCTGGACAGGGCTTCATGTCGACTAAACCCTAAAACTTAATTTCATCTTTATCTGTCTTGAAACTGATTATATTGTAGTTTAATGTGCTATGATATGTGAGAGACTGTCTACAGTTATACAGTTATATAAAGCAAGAATTTGAGTTAATCTGCATACTTTGTTATTTTTTTTCATTATTAGTCAGTGGTCTATTAAAAGGATATGACCCACTCCTAAACTTAGTATTGGATGATGCTACTGAATTTCTAAGAGGTAAGTATTATCTTCTGATTCATAACAGTATTGTAATTAATATTTGTTTTCAAATGCACTTTTCCTCCAATAATTACATATTTCATTTGGGTGAAATGCATATACAAGTTCTGCTGTGATGGAAGCTGAATAGAAATGTTTGGCATGCCTGCCTTTCAAACCTAGGTCATGAGTCAAATGCACAATATCCAATATATTTTTTGAGTAAAGCTGGAGCTTAGTGATAAGGTTCAAGGGTCACATGTAGTGGCGAAGGTGCTGAATTCCTTTCTTTCTCATCCCATTGTTCTTGGCAGTGTAGGGTGTGCTTGGTGGTTAAGATTCCTGTATTTCATTTCCAGGTTTAGTTATTTATTCCATTCCCTAGGCACTGGAGAGTGTGAAGGTTTCTTGGTGGTTCTGAGAAGTAGATTGTTTGGTGGTTTTCACAATTATGTTTCTTAATTTGATGCTTAGATCCTGATGATCCATACAAGCTAACAGAAGACACAAGGCTCCTTGGATTGGTCGTATGTCGTGGGACGTCTGTGGTACTTATATGCCCTGCAGAAGGCATGGAACCAATTGCAAACCCGTTTGTACAGCAAGAAGGTTGAGATGAAAATGAGCCACACCAAGAACATAACTCAAAGATTGAAGAGAATGTATAAACTGAGCTTGTAAAATTTGGAACAAACTTTTCAATGTTTCCAGATTTGAGAATGGCTGTCAGATTTGTAGAAAGATTCAACATTCATTTCAAGCCATGATTCCAGATAAGTCTCCCCTGTCTTGCTTCATCAGGTCATGTACCTTATGTGTTATACAATTCATTATGCACCTTATAAGATTTTATTTTTTATGCTTATTGAGTGTCCATCTGCCAAAATGTTCAACAAGTTTTATTAGGTAATTTTTACCTCCAAGATGGGCTTCATAATTATGTTTGATTGTGAAAGTGCTGCTGAGAATTCCATCACTACCATTTGTAGGCCAATTAACCATCATAAGCAAAGATATTCTAATTATATAATATGTTTGTTTATTTTTTTTAAAAAGAATTTTATGTATGCATATTTGTTTTAGCATTTTATTCTGTGATGATTAAAATATAAATGAGCATCCATGAAAGCAGGAAAAGTAGTCAAATACTGCCCTCTATAATATATTATATCAGTTTTACAATTATGAAGTAACTTACAATACATTTTAACACATTCTTTTTGAAATTTCTTATTTTTTGAACATATTTTATTTCAAATAATGTCTCATTTTTTTAATAAGGATATTGTGATTTTAAAAAACATTTTAAAGCTTTAGTTTTGGGATTTTTTTAAACTGATATTTCATTCCAAATAATGTATCTGTGAGATGAACAAAGAAAAAAAACATTTTGTTAATAAAGAGTTGTAGATATGCTTGTAGCCATTGATTTAATATGTTGCTAAAACAAATTGGAATTGATAAAATTCTTTAAAACCATGACATTCCTATTTTTCTATTTAACTTTATTCTTTAAAATTTTGTTTAAGATCTGTGTGTGTTAAAATTTTGGGGGAAACATCTCAAAGGTTAAAAAAGTGGCGTGTCCACGAGCGATTGAGGAAAAAGCCTTCGCCACCCAGCTGCTTCCCCGGTACTCACTTAAACTGAAAAAAATACCCACAAGTAAGCACCTCTCACTTAATCGAACCTCTTCACTTAACCTTTAGTCCTCCATCAGCTCCCCACCAACACCCACCCTTGTTCACAATCCTAGAAATGAATATCAATACCATTTTTCCTGATTTATAGACTGTTACTACAAAAGTCCTTTAATTATTTACCATCCAATGACATTTTTAGTACAAAAACCTATTATATACGCACAATATTGTTTGTGTAATATAATTTTTCAAGTTTATTAGCCTAAAGTTTTGTCCTCAGTATGTTGTTTATACAGTACTTCTGATTGTATAAGGATTTGATGCAACATCATCATGCCTTTTTTGGGCAAATCACAAAACTTTGTTGTATAAAAAAAACTTTATAGTGTAAACAAAGATAACACACTGCAACACAGTAGATATTTGAGCAGCAGATACTTTGAAATTTGTTTCAGTTTCACTTAAATGACAAAATTGTGCATGCATTGGGTGAAGGAAATTGATTTGAAAATAGATATAAAGCAATAAAAACTTTAAATGATAATTCTGTTTAGAAATCACAAGGAAATTAGTGTTTATTAAACTCTTAAATATTTTAATCATAACTCTGTAGAGCATTCGAATGGTAATTGGACAGTCTGCAATGTTTTTCTCAAAAATATTTACCTCCATGATTTGAAACGCCAATAATACAGGGAAGTATTCAATTATAGCGCCCTCTATACCTTTGCAAATATCAGATACTGTACTGTGATTTTTTTTTTTCTTTTAATAAAAATGCATTGCCACCTAAAAATAAAAGAAACAAAACTTCTAAACAAATTTTATTAGAGATTCACAACTGAAGGACATTAGCGAAGATTAGCTATTGGTCTACTTGTTTTTCACTCTGATTTTATATAATTGAACTTTGAACTATGTGGCTTTCGATTGCCGTTGCAGTTAAAGCTACTAGTTTCTATATTTTAAGCACATCTCAACTTTATGCCAGTAGCTGAGTGTGCTGGACATCCTAAACCCATATGGTCCACCATTATGGATACGAGCCTGGTCTTCACAGGTTGGTTCATGTCCAAGGCGACTTGCAATGGCATAGCGAGCCATGTAACCCTGCACCGCCCTCTCACTGCAACCCATTTCAATTGTGCAAGTTATCCAGTCTGAAATTTCGAAAAAATATGTACAGCAATCAGTTACAGTATTATGTTAAGATTCCTTGTCAATTTTCCGTAGTGTTTTTTTTTTGTGTATAGATTTGCGGTATGACATTTTGTTTGATATTTGCTCACTTGTGTGGGTTTGTTGATATGACAAAATATGTTAAATTTGCATGCTAGACAAGAAGTTATAGTATACATTCATTCTTTCATATAAAAATTAAAATACACACCCAAAGAAATGAACTCACATTTCTTTTACACGTTTTAGCCAAAGACTCGTCATTATCGTTTAACTTGTTACATAATATGTAACATTGAATTTGTGATTTTGATAATACCATCAATTTAATTTTTTTTTTTTATATATATATATAAAGTTAAGTCAATCGATATAAAGTTAAGTCAAGCATTAAGATAGAAAAATTAAATTAATTGTTATTTTTCGGAGGCTCCTCATAGAAAAAAAAAGTTGTTATTTTTCGGAGGCTCCTCAATACTAAGGCTTTCCCTTATGTGGAGACTGCGTTGAATATATTTAAAAAAGGTACACATACAATAACAAAACAAGGTAATCTGAGATTACAAACCCTCGCCATGTTGCACCATATATTTGTATATAGTCGATGCGATCGGTCCGCTGAATGTTGGTGTATTATAGGGGTGTAATATTACCAGCTGTACATATCGGGTGAAATGTGGCCGAGCAGTAAAGGTGCACGTCTTGAGTGTGAAGTCAAACATATGGGTTTTTTTGTTTGTTTGTTTTTTTTTTTTTTATTATTATTTTAAACTATTTTGTATTATTTGTGCATCTATACAATAGGCCTACTTTTTTCATAGTTTATTATTTTTCACAATTATTTTTCTTTTTGAATTGGGACAGCAGATTGTGAGATATACGGCCGGAAAATATTTTAATTTGGACAGCAGATTGTGAAATACGGCCGGAAAATATTAGAAACATTCTAAAATCTGCATCCTCTCCAATCCATCCGCCAAATGAGGCTTAGCATAGGCCTCAAGTATCAAGCCCATCATTTGGTCTTGCATGCCTTCCGGGCTGGTTCCAGTCCGCCGGCCAGAATTTGACACACGGTTGGCCCGTGGTCGATCCGCTCGAGACAAATGACTGTCCAAATCCGCTTGAGTTGGGCTGTCAATTGCGACCGAAAACTATATAAATCATGTTCTAAATTCTACATCTTACTTCTGATGAGCATTAAATTCAAAGAGGACCGAGATACATTGTAATGTTGTCAATGTGTAATTATTTTGGGTTTTCCGGTCCAGTAGATTTGAGTTGTGCTTCCAGAACATGGCCGGCGGAAGCGGGGGTGCCCGCCCCCCCCCCCCACTTTTTGGCGAAAAATATATAAATGTCTGGAGATTTTTGTATAATCGGAATTGCAAAAAAGAAGGAGGGGAGAAGGATGGGAAAGAGAATGTTTATCCAGTACCCGACCGACTTACATTTTCTCGCAATTCACATTGGCGGATCTGGGGAGGGGGTCATGGTCCTGACCTCTCCCTTGGGCAACAAAAAAGGGGGAAAAGAAAAGAATTCTAGACCTACCTTTTCAGGACCCGTGAGCTGATTTTTTAATTTTTTTTTTTTTTTTTTCTTTTTTTTTTTTTTTTTTTGTTGCTATTAGAACATTAGAATTTTGAAGAACATAAAATTCATTAAATCACACTTCAAATGTCGGGAAAGCTCAATTCCCGCCATCTAGGAATCAAAATTTTCTCGGGGGAGAACCCCCGGACCACCCTTTCTTTTTGGGATTTATCGATTCATGGAAAAAAGTATACGCATGCAACTACTCATTTGTTTATGTATGTATACACACATAAAATAAAAAATGAGAAAAATTTACCTGACCTTTTTCAAGAGGGGAAAACCTTGAATTTTTAAGGACTTTAAAAGTCATTAAAAGACATTTCAGAAGTCAGGAAAGCTCATCTCCCGCCATCTAGAAACCAACAATTTTCCGGGGAACCCGGACCCCTTTATCTTTGGAGTTCATTGATTAATTGAATCATTTTCAAG